CTGAGTGCTTGTTTCCCGAGCCCAAAAGTGACGGCCCACCGTGTGCAGCTGCTCCTTGAATGCCAACAGTAATCTGGTGTTGTTTCTTTAAATGGCACATAGAAGGTTGGGCAGCTCTTACTCCTGTTCAGATTGGGAGCTCATGATATACTGCATGACCATCTGCGATGTGTTCATAACAGCGACCTCAACAGTAGAGAGCAGTCTGGGCCCATCCTTTCAGGTAGAGATGGTGGATGCACAGTAAACAGGGGCAGTTAAAAAATGCAGCAAAACACAGTACGAAGCTCATGGAATGCTGGGATGGAAAAATGCATCATGGTATGCTGAACCCACACCCATGATGCACTACGATCCACTCCACCTTTCCCACAACACCTAGCTGCAGACGGTGGCGAATAGCACAGTGGGATAGCTACCCACAGTGACAGGTTTCAGAGTGGTAGCCGTGTTCGTCTGTATCAGCAAAAACAACGAGGAGTCCTTGTGGCACTTTAGAGACTAACAAATTTATTTGGGCATAAGTTTTCAGGGGCTAAAACCCACTTCATCAGCTGCATGGGGTGGAAAATACAGTAGAGAGGTATAAATACACAGCATATGAAAAGATGGGAGTTGCCTTACCAAGTGGGGGGTCAGTGCTAACGAGCCAATTAAATTAAGGTGGAAGTGGGCTATTCTCAACAGTTGATAAGAAGGGAGGGGAAAAAATCACTTTTGTAGTGCTAATGAATTCAGTATAATCAAGATGGCCCATTTCAAACGGTTGACAAGAAGGTGTGAGTATCAGCAGGGGAAAATTTAGTTTTTGTAGTGAACCATCCAACCCCAGTCTTTATTCAGGCCTAATTTGATGGTGTCCAGTTTGCAAACTAATTCTAGTTCTGCAGTTTCTCGTTGGAGTCTGTTTTTTTTGTTGAAGAATGGCCACTTTAAAGACTGTTATTGAGTGTCCAGGGAGACTGAAGTGTTCTCCTACTGGTTTTTGAATGTTATAATTCTTGATGTAAGATTTGTGTCCATTTATTCTTTTGCATAGAGACTTTCCGGTTTGGCCAATGTACATGGCAGAGGGGCATTGCTGGCACATGATGGCATATATCACATTGGTAGATGTGCAGGTGAACGAGCCCCTGATGGTGTGGCTGATGTGGTTAGGCCCTATAACGGTGTCCCTTGAATAGATATGTGGACAGAGTTGGCACTGGGGTTTGTTGCAGAGTTTGGTTCCTGGGTTACTGTTTTTGTTGTGTGGTGTGTAGTTGCTGGTGAGTATTTGCTTCAGGTTGGGGGGCTGTCTGTAAGTGAGGACAGGCCTGTCTCCCAAGGTCTGTGAGAGTGAGGGATCGTCTTTCAGGACAGGTTGTAGACGCTTGATGATGTCCTGAAGAGGTTTTAGTTGGGGGCTGTAGTTGATGGCTAGTGGCGTTCTGTTACTTTCTTTGTTGGGCCTGTCCTGTAGTAGGTGACTTCTGGGTACCCTTCTGGCTTACCTACATGCCTCCAGCTTTCATCCAGACCACATCACACGATTCATTGTCTATAGCCAAACTCTAAGATACAACCGCATTTGCTCCAGTCCCTCAGACAGAGACAAATACCTATATGATCTCTATCAAGCATTCTTAAAACTACAATATCCACCTGGTGAAGTGAAGAAACAGATTGACAGAGTCAGAAGGGTACCCAGAAGTCACCTACTACAGGACAGGCCTGTAGTAGGGAGAGAAAGAAGGGTAGAGGCCTCCTCAGGTAAGGGTAAGGAGTGGGATAGGAAGGATTTGGTATGGTGAGGGGTGGTGTAAAAGTTGTGGGTTTCGAGGCAGGGAGTCCTGTCAGCCCCAAATTTTCCCCTTCCCCATGCTGGGATCTGGAGAAGCCCTACCCCTCTGCAGGGCTCTGAACTCCTTTTTTTGCCCCCATATGGTCTGGGATCTGGGAGACCCTGCCACTCTTGGGGTGTCTAACCCCCTCATGTAATCTGTGTTCAAGGGGAAGTGGGGGGCTGAATGTGATGAAAATGTAAACACCTGAAATGCAGGAAATTAATAGTTAAAATACACATCACCCCTGTGTGGGGTTGCCAGACTATGTGGGGGAGGGGGAGTTGGATTGGGTGGGCCTGCAACATGGCTGGGGTCCTGGGGAAGTCTGGCTGGACCAGGGGCGGGGGGCCCAGCTAGGCCTGGTAGTTGGGATGAGGAGCTCAGCTCAGTAAGGAGCTCAGCTCAGTATGCAGCTCAGGCTACGTAACTGAGGTACTGTGTGGCCAAACAGTAAGCTGCTGCCTGTGATGTGGGCCCCCAGAAACGCAGGGCAGAGGGGACGGGGAGCTACATGTTGTGGGGGATGGTGGAGAAGGAGACAGACACACCAGTTTCCTCTCACACACTTAAAGTATCCGCTGTGTAATAAAACTGTCAAGGTATTGGGGCAGGGACCTGGGATGAGATTTCTCTCACCCGCCCTGTTACAAGCTACACACTGCAAACATTGCACAGCACGACCATTATCCCCACTGCACTACCAGAGTGCACAGCGGGAGGGACATTGAGCAACCAGGGGGCAACCAGCCCCAGCACCGGTCTGAGCAGCTGGCCTCCCTGCCCCTGAACTCCGCCCCCTCCCCCCCGGCCAAGCCGAGATGGCTCCAACACCAGGCTGAGCCACTGGCCCCTGAGCCCCAATGCTGGGCTGAGACGCTGGCCCCCAGAGCGGTAGGCCAGCCCCAGTGCTGGGCAAAGCCACCAGCCACCCGAGCGCCAAGCCAAGATGCTGCCCCCCACCCCAAGCCACCAGCCCCCCAGCACCAGGCAGTGCCTGACCAAGCTGCCCCACTCCCCCACCAGACGCCCCCGGCTGGCCGCCCGCTGGCTTGCCGCGTTCCTTCCTCACTCCCCCTCCCAAGAGGAGGAGGGACGCAGTGAGCAGCAGGGATTTCTGGAGGGGTGGTGGTGGTGAAGCGGCAGGGCCACTGCGGCACAGGCATCCAGCAGCAGGTTGGCGGCGGGAAGGCTTAGCTTTCCCATGCCTATTATACCCACCTCCCATGACTACAACCACCTAAATGGCCACTAACTCCTACAACAAACGTTTGCCTTTCTGTTTAAAAAACCTAGAAAATTCAGTGACAAAACCTTCGTTAGCACGGAGTTCAGGCTGCCTGGTGAGATTATCTCCTGCCCTTCCACAGCACAGTGACAGCTCTGAGACCCTGTCCCCACTACTCTCTCCACTGGTCAGTACAGCTACACTGAACACAGGGAATGCAGCTGCAGTGCAGGCAGATACATGCTGCAATTCAAATCTGTGGAAAACAACACAGCACAAACAATGGCACCTTCCTGTAATCCTTCCTCATGTCTATTCACTGACAAAAAACTTAGGGTAGGTCTATACTATCGCAGTAAAAAGAACAGGAGTACTTGTTGCACCTTAGAGACTAACAAATTTATTTGAGCATAAGCTTTGCACTGCATGCATCCGAAGTGTAGCCCATGAAAGCTTATGCTCAAATAAATTTGTTAGTCTCTAAGGTGCCACAAGTACTCCTGTTCTTTTTGCGGATACAGACTAACACGGCTGCTACTCTGAAACTATCGCAGTAAGTTGACCTAAGGTATGCAACTCCAGCTACATGAATAATACATATTATTATTCAGACAGTCTCCCGTTGACTTACCTTACTCTTCTCATCGGGGGTAGAGTACATGGGTTGACTGGAGAGCGATCTGCGGTCGATTTGGCGTGTCTTCACTAGACCCGCTAAATCGACTGCCAGTGCATCGATCTCCACTCTGTCTATCCTGGCTGTAGTGTAGATGTAGCCTTAGTTACCTTCAGGCAACCGTAACTCTGTATTATCTCATGCAAATCCAGAACACTCAGTTCAGCAATACTCAGACCTCTAAAACTAGGAAATCCTTCGGGAAGATAAACACCCAAACATCTTAACACTGCCCCTTTGGAGCTGGCAATAATCACTGGGACTTGGTTGCATGCACTAAAGCTGCATCCACTATCCTTGATGTAGCTGTAATGACCAGTGGAGGGATTATTTGGAGCATATTGGCAGAGCTGTCACAGTGACATCAGGAGAGGTGCAGGTGTACCTTGAGGGATGAATCATGCCTCATTTCAGCACTGAGCGGTGCAGGCTCTGTCAGTAGCAGGGCACAGACTCCTTGCCATGGGGATTGCCAGCAGCCTGGTGTCAGATATACCAGTGATCACCAAGGCTTGGTGAGGGGTAAGTGAAGGCAACATCCCAGAAGAAATCCACACCCACAGGGCAAGGGTGACGAGGCGATAACATTTTGCAAGTTGGGAGTGGTTTGTGTGGAGTAGGCTCAGTGTTTGAGTGTAGACCCAGGTGTTCACTACACGTGGCCTAAACCTCATGTCCTCGTTACAGAACTAGCTGCGTCTGTGTCCCCTTGCTGGTCTCTCTGACAGCACCTTCAGGGGTCAGGCCTCCTGCCTCTACCTGTCCTGGGGGCAGGAAATTCCTCAATTCTCCCACTCTTAGACCAGGCTCTGGGCTACAGGGCCCTGTGTATCGACCACTGTTACCCCGAAGGGGCCAGACACGTGCTGAGATCAATCCCAGCTGGTGGCATCAGTTTGGGGAGGATCAGAGTCATTGTTCAGCCCCAGGAGTGCACAAAATAGTTGTAATCACCACAACATGTTAATGTCACCTGACTGTTATGGGATATTAGTGTGTCTCATTAATTCCTTGCTCTAAAGACCTCACATTTGGGCCACTAACCCGACCCCAGATTCCAATGAGTTGCAGCAATTTTCAAGACAATCTGAGGATGTGTGTGAATTTTGAAGAACTTAGAAAAATGGATATTAAACAGCAAACTAGAATCAACCTTATCCAGAGCACAGCTACTGCCCCACTATAATGAGAAAAATTGTCATCTCACAATTAACCCTCTGACTCCACTTATTACCCTGCTGAAGACATTAAATCATCAGAAGAAGTTACTGACCTGCCACCCACAGTTCCAACATAGCATCTTCATAAGAGACACCGGACTGAAAAAAACACTTGTACTGTCCATCATCGGAGGGTCGGATATTGCGTATTCTCAGGGAAACGCTCCCATTGGTGATGTCGTCTTTCAAGAGCTCAGTTCTTTCTCGATATTCTGGCATCTGTTCTCCGTACTGATCCTGCCCATCATGGTACAGGTGCACAGCTGGAGAGAACTGGGATCGGAACCATCTCACCTCCATGTTCTCAGCGCTCATCCTGGGAGAGAGGTGGCAGGGCAGGATGGCCTCCCCGCCAATGGAGGCAGTGACTGGGTGGTCAGGTCCAGTCACTGTGAATTGTGCTGTGAAATGTACAATGAAAAAAGGAAATTAAATTGGCATGGGGTCTGGGGGTAACATTAATTCAGCAGTAAGACACACAGTAAGAGAGCGCCCTGCGTTAGAAGTGAGAAACCATTTAAAGACAAAAGCCTGACAGAGAAAACTTACCATAAACCAATCAAATGTCTGAACACATGTTACACTTATACCAAAGGATTCTAATCTGGCACATGGGACTCTGTGGTAGGTTCCAAAGTCTTTCAAACCTTTCTCTTAGGGTTTGTCCTCTTGGTTAACAGGTCCTGTCACTTTGCAGCCCAAGATCTCAGGCCTCTGGTCAGTTCAAATCCAGCTTTTATACTAAAAATCTTTGTTCTCTTGGGCTTCTGGGACCTGGTCTAACCCAGTTTATGCAACTCTCCCTAGGGGTGGTACTTCTCTGGAGCTGTTACCTGTCCCACAAGTAATTACCCCCATGGTTTGTAAATTCTGAAGGAGATGGGGTAACGCTCCCCCATGGCATAGATTACAATCCCGAGCCCACAAAGATACATATAACATGTATAGGTACCATTGATAAAGGGGGTACAAAAATAAACAGAACATTCATAAAGTGAATTTAATAGTCCCCAAAATGCCGCATGTGGCTGCAATATCTGTCACACAGAGTTCACACGAGTGTTATACACTGTCCCTATTATCTCTGAATAAAGATCTAAGTTCTCATAGGCACCCTGGGGATAATGGTACTGGGGGCCTGGTTCTCTGATACACCAAGGCCTTTTCGTGCTGCTCCAGCACAGGGGCCTCCTCATTTGCAGGAGGGGTGGTCTAAAGGCTGATAAGGTGTAAAGATATGAAAACAGATCATCACTATGCAGGTGATGGTTTTCAAGGTAAAGTCAGGGGTCAGATAATGGAGGGAGGGGAGGAGGCAGATAGAAAAGAGCAGGAAATAGAGAATCAGTCACTGTGGAACAGCACAGGATGTGGGGGTCTCAGTGCAGAGACTCAGCATCAGGAGAGACAGAGAGAGCTGGTTAAATTAACAGGATGGAAACCACAGCAGGAGGGAACCAAAATGCCCAAGTAGCTGTGGAGTCATCCCGGGGGTGGAGTGGGTCACTATCAGGGCTTCACTGAGGGCACAGAATGAAGAAGCCAGCAAATATCTTCACATCCTCACTGTGAGATGAGGTCTAGCGCTGAGCCCTAGTGAGATGTTCTTAGTGCAGCATGAATGACTTGTGGGTTGTTACGTCTAAACTGGAGAGCCTAGGATTCAGGACTCCTTCGTGGCTGAAGAGTCTAATTTGTGATGTATACGGTCTGTCAGTGCAGTGTATAGGAATTGGGTAGTGTCCTTTTAAATAGTTTGCGATCCCTGTAGTGGTGTTCACTGTGTTCTGTGTTTTAAAAGCTGCCAGAAATCAGCCAGAGTGGTAGGAGGGATGTAGTGTCAAGGCCTGACAAGATGGTGTATAGATAGGAACCATGGTTACTGGGGACCCAGGTGTAGCCTGTGATTTCTCCATGTTGCTGGTTGTTGGCAGGTTGAGCAGACTTGGTTTACAAGACAAGGCAGTGATGTGAGATATACGCTGATGACCACCAATAGCAACAGCAGCAATCCCAGCGAGGAGGCCAGAGCTCCTACCTGACACCAGCCTGTGAACCTGTAGAGTGAGGCAGAGAGCGATGTAGCCGGGCAGAGCGGAGCTCGCTGTGGAGCCGGGGGAGAATGAGGGAACCTTCCCCATCATCGTAGCTTGGTCTGGGGAACAGGAGAAATAACAAACCAGATGGTGAGTGAGTGGGATGCAGTGACAGTGCCAGGTTGTCTGACTTTCATAGCCCTGGTCCATTGGTCAGTTATGTTTACATTAGCGCACTTCCCAATATTCATAGACTAAGGTCAGAGGGGACCATTAGATCATCTACTCTGATCTGTGGCACAGGCCAAAGATTCTCACCCATTTACCCCTATACTGAGCCCAAACTGGTGTTTGACTGAAGCATCTTCCAGAAAGTCACCAAGTCTTTATCTGAAGACAGCAAGAGATGGACAATTCACGAGTTACCTTGGTAGTTTATTCCAGTGATTAATCACCCTCATGGTTACAATTCTGTGCCTTAATTCTAATTAGAATTTGTCCAGTTTTAACTTCCACCCATTGGTTCTTGTTATGCCTTTCCTCACTGTATTAAAGAGCCCTTTAGTACCCTGTATTTTCTTCATGAAGGTGTGACAGGTGGGGAATTTTACTGAAATATTTTTATGAACATATTGGTAGGACTCTGTACCAATCCCCTTGGCATCGCTGCTGCTTTGGGGGAAAGAATTGCTTCTCTTGCTGGGACGTGGCCAAACAGGCTAGGTGTCTGAGATGTAGAGCCACTAGGACAGTCTGGGCTGGAATCAACATATCAACGGAGGATTTTGAAAAGACAATGGGAAGCCTCAACGATTAAGCATCAACTCCTACACCAAGTTTGTTCCCCCCACCTCTCTACAGGGAAGAGGAGCAATAGCCGGGAGCTGGAGCACAAAGGGCGAAGGTGCCAGGTGTCTGTGTTAAAGGACTGGGCTGACAGAGACACAGGAACTCAATTGGGACTGAGAGACAAAAAAGGAACAGGGAGAGAGCGAGCCAAGCGGGACCCTCCAGCAGCACGGCTCGGCAGAGCCCCAGCTCTGGCCAGGCTGAACCCTCTCTTAAACTTTGCTTCTCTGTGCTGACCTAAGGACTTTCAGACTCCATAGGCCAGGTGACTAACACATGGTTAGTTGGTGTGGAAAAGGTGCCTGGTGTCACTGCAGATACTCACTGAGAACACTGAGCCCTGAAGGGGTAGAACAAGTCTCCTGCAGGAGTCTGGCTTGGTTGGACTTGCTGCAGGGAGCCATGGAGAAAGCCAGGGGTTGCTGGTGCTCAAAGGCCCAGTTTCTGAGTCACTGAAGCCATGGACTTGCCTCTGTGGAAGTGTGTGGATCGTGGGGTCCAGCACAATCAAGGGGTCACTCCCAAGGGCCTGGCTGAAGGCCAGGGCACAGACCAGGCCTTGTGAATCCATGACAGAAAGTCACCTCTCACTCTTCTCTTTGCTAAACTGAACAGATTGATCTCCTTCAGTCCCCTACTGTGAGGTGTTTGCTCCAGCCCCTAAATCATGTTTGTGACCCTTTTCTGCAGTGTCTGTGATAGTTTGGGGTGCAATGCAGGGGTTGCATCACTGCTCGCCCTGCCCTTCCGACTGTGGCTGCTCAGAGCCCCCAGAAACCTGCCCACATCACACAGGCGCCTGCCTGGGAGCAGTTCAGAGCTGAGCTCTCTTGGAAACGCGGCCCTAGGTCTCTATGGCCCCTGATGCCTGCAAGAGGCTGCGTTGCTGTGAGGGGCAGTGGGGGGCTTCTCACAAGGGCTGACGTCACTCGGGGCTCACACCACATAGCACTGGTGGAAGCTCTGGCTGGGTCTGGGCTGTGACAGGGCGAAGTGGCTGTAAACTGCCTCAGGACAGCAGCAGGGGCTGGCACGGTCCAAAGAGCAGCCGCACTGGGGAGGAAGTAGGTGAGAGCAGGGCTGGCGGGGGAGTCACTCACTGAGCACCTGCATTCAGTGGTGGCTGCTGATAACCTGCCAGTGAGAGGTAAAGCTTCCCCCTCCCTGCCAGAAACCCCCCTGAGGGAAACAGCAGCATCCCCTACCCTCCCTTGGGGTGAGTCTCCCCTCCACCCCCGGACTGCAAAGGGCCTTGAGGGCACAGGCAGGTGCAATTTACACTCGGAGGGGGAGATTTTCACAACCACAGGGGAGTTAGGATCAATGGGGCTTGTGCTTCTGAATCCCTTAGGAGCTTTAGAAAAATCTCCCCCTCCCTGCATCAGTTGCACCCAATCTGGCCCCAGGTGTTTCCTTTCCATCTTTCACCCTCTCACTCTGGAGCTTCAGGGTGGTGAGCTGATGATGAAAACACCTGCACACTCCTAACAGTGCCCCACAGGAAAATTACAACTGGCGATCGGTTCCTACAGCTGTCAGTAAATAGAGCAGAACAGCAAACAAACGGGAACCTGGCAGTGGAGAAGTGACTGGACGGGTTTCTGAATCTGTGTGGGCATCTCTACAGCCACAGCTGAGTTCCCCGTGGGAAAGTGATACTTTATCCCCCAAATCCCAGGAGCGAGGCCCTTTGATAGCAGCAGCTCCTCTGACTAATCAGTGCCATGAGCCAGGAAATACCAAGGCAACAATTCAGCTGGGGTTGCAGTGAGTGAACCCCCTACCTGCGGAGTCCTGTGGAGTCGTTTCTGAGCCATTCCAATCTCCCAGCTTCGCTAGCCCCCAGAGCCATTCTCTCTAGGGAGAGCTCCCGCTCCCAGTGACTGCGTCCCTTTCCCAGGCTGTAACATCCATCCTGCCGGAGGGGTCAGGGAGCCACAGGGATTAACTCCAGCCTGCCCCTGAGCTTTTCATTAAGTTAATACATTTTATATTAAATGGAAACACCGTCCTCTTTAGGCCCATCCACCAGCTTCAAAATCGAAAGAAGGACAGAGGCTGGAACGTGACTGGCTCCTCTTCAGGAGGGTTATGGCACAAAGTTCAAACTCCTCTGAGACTGACACACCCACAATGCTAGTGAAAGGGTAGCTTTGGTGCCAGCAGTCTCAGTTCTTAACTTCGACTGGTGACACAGTCAGTTCTGCAGGCTGTTTTCTTGTGCTCCAGGAGTTGCTGTAATTACCTCAGTCCTGTGTAAACAATGGGACCAAAGTCTGCTTCAGCAGCCACTAGACTCAGTGGCCATGTTAATTTACTCTACTGCCCTGGAATATTCCTCCTTCCCAGCCCCACTCTACAAATACATGCAGGATTTGTGGCTGAAAATACTCATAGATGCAAAATTAACCCATGACTATCTGGGGGATAGGGTTTGTTGCTATACTCTCCAGGTAGCCCAGCCCCACCCTTTGGGCCTCAGCTCCTGCAATGTTGTTCAGTCATCCTGGCTCAGACACTCCTTTCCTGGGCCCCAGCTGCTCTGCTCTTCTCCAAGACACAGGTTCCAGCAAGTCAGGGAAACAAAAAAGCAAGATGGTGCCTGGCTGCCTGCAACAAACCTGCTGAATTCTCTGGGATCTTGGAAAAATGCTAAATTCCTTCACCGGGGAATGTTGTGATAATCAGGGTAAAAATGTCCCTGAATTGTGAGCTGAGCTGTGAGAAGTGAGCAAACATTAATAAAATATCACAATAGCCTGTAACAATAAACGCTGATAGGAAGAGCTGCAAACAGAGCTGGAGCTACCCCATTGGGGTCCCTAAGCAGGAATAGTGGGGGGTGGCTCTGACCCACCCCTGAGAATTCTAACTGCATTATTTCCACAAATCATGGACCCCTGAGCTGCTCCGGGCCCTAAGCGACTGCTTAGTCTGCTTATGCCTAGTGCCGGCTCTGGTGGGAGACAGGCCGACTGAATCAATCCCAACAGACAGGCTCCTGGTTTAACTCCAGGACTGTGTTAAGATCATGCCTGGTAAACATGAGAATTACGGGATGGGAAATCAATGGACCACAATGGGTGTGTCTGAAATTAGGCCAAGCTGGTGAACATAATACTGAGAGGATGGGCTATTCCACCCATCTTGGGGTCCTCTACAAGAGAATTTTGGGATGAAATTAGCCGCTGGATGACTGGGAGATGGATGGACGGGAAAGAGAGAGATTCACCATCATGGCTGCCACCCGCACCATCTCGTGGGACCTCAGAATCCACCATTACATGGTTGGGCCTTCATAGTCCTGATCGATGCACTGACCAGACTGAGCCAGGGTGGGATCCAGGTGACATCACCACCTCCACCGACTCTGGCTACATCCCAGACACCACCTGGGATAAGCGACTTTTGTTGGATTAAAATAGAAATCAATGTTCATTTTGATACAGAACAGCATAGTTCAGAGCAGGCCCTAGGCTGAGCCTGACCATTAAAAAAAGAAATGGCTCCCAGCTAACACAACAAGGCTGCACTAATTGAAATATGTGAAATTTACAAGGTTGGTGCTAATCGTACCAGTACATCCCTAGACAAAGAGTCTGTTCTGAGAAGTGATAAGAACTTTGTAAAAACAACTGTCCTCTGGAATACAGCAATAAGATTTGTTGGCTCTCATCCTTAGTACTCTTTATCTTGCTTATTTTCTTTTCCTGTGTAGCAAGTGGTATGGACAGATCTATTGAGGCCTGTCATGCCCCAGTGATTGTGGAAGGGTTATGTTAAAGGAAGGATAGGTAATAAAATAGAGATGTAATAAGAAATATGTTAAGTTAAATGAAGAGTGAATGTATGTTTGGCTTCAATGGATGATAAAAGGGCAGAAGTGCCAGCTTGGGAATTACAACCCCAATATCACTTGGCTGAAGAATGCATGGAGTGAAAATGACCGGGTGACCCCGAGGGCAAACCGGAATACACACTCCACCCCCAAATTCCCCAAGGGCGAAGAACCGAAGAACAAGATAACACCAAGCTGTCACGGATGTACCAGCTGCTGATTAGACATCACTTCAAACGTGGGAAAAGTGATTGATTATCACTTCAAACGCGATGAAGCAGATTCCATAGACTGGTATAGGAGTGAATTCCTATAAAAACAGAACCTAAAAACTGAGAACTCTGAGTCTGGTTCTGCAACCACCCTCCAGGAGCATTGGATGCACATCTGACAAGACTCAGCTCCACCCTCGTGTGCAGGCTACCTGGCCAGTGACTTGGCATGAGCAACTCCTAGGCTGGTAACTATAACAACTTTGCAGAACTTGTGTGTGCATGTGTGAATGAATGGAATGTTATAGCTGTAACTGATTGCTTACTCTGATTCTTTCTGTATTCACAATAAATGTGGCATTTTGCCTTATCCCCTTTAATAAGATCCTACTGGTCTTTATTTTATTGGTATAACACTTTGTCACCCACCCACACACACCCTCTGTCATTTTCCTTCCCTACCTACCTTTCTCTGTCCTATCCCTCTCCTTTTG